CAGCTGAGCCACCAGGGGAGCCCATGCTATACAGTAGGTTCTTGTTTATCTGTTCATGTATAGCAGTGATGGTTTAGTCACTAAGTCATGTCCGACTCTTGCAACTGCATGGATGACAGCCCACCAGGCTCCTCTGTACATGGGATTTCCCAGGCATGAATACCAGAGTGGGTTGGCATTTCCTTCTCCAGGGGATCTTCCCCACCCAGGAATTGACCCAAGGTCTCCCAGGTTGCAGGCAGATTTTTTACCATCTGAACCACCAGGTAAGCCCTATATATAGTAGTGTATATGTATTAATCCCTCCCCTGTTTCTCCCCCCATTTTCCCCTTGGGTAACTAAATTTGTTTTCTGTGCCTATGGGTTTGTTTCTATTTTGTAAATAAGTTTACTCATATCATTTTCTAAAATTTCACATATAAACAATATCATATGCTATTTGGCTTACTTCTGTTAGTATGACAGTCTGCACTTCCATTAATGTTTCTGCAGAAGACAGCATTTTTCTTAGGGCTGAGTAACACCCCACTGTGTATGGGGGGGTGTATCACATCATTTTTATCCTGTTACCTGTCACTGAACATTTAGGTTGCTAAATGGACATCAGGTTGCTGTGCTGCGATGAATATTGGGATGCATGTTTTTTTCAAAGTATAGTTTTGTCTAGTTGTATGCCCAGTAGTGCAATTACAGGATCACATGGTAGCTTTGTTTTTAATTTTTTTAAGGAACCTCCATATTGTTCTCCATAGTCCCTGTACAGATTCACATTCTTACCAACGGTGTAGGAGGGGTCCTTTTTCTCTACACCCTCTCCAGCATTTATTTGTAGACTTTGATGATGGTCATTTTGACTGGTATTAGGTGATACCTCATTGTGGTTTTGATTTGCAGTTCTGTAATAATTAGCAATGTTGAACATTATTTCATGGGCCTGTTGGTCATCTGTATGTCTTTTATGGAATGTATGTCTTAAGTATTCTGCCCATTTTTTTATTGGATTATTTCTATTTTTTTTAATCTCTTATTTTATTGATTCTTCTTTAGCTTCATTATTTCCTTCCTTCTGTTCATTGTAGGTTTTATTTTTTCTTCTTTTTCTAGTTTTTTTAGATGTTAGGTTGTTTAATTCAGATTTTTCTTGTTTTTGGAGAATGGCCTGTATCATTATGAACTTCCCTCTAAGGGAATTGCTTTTGCTGCATCCCAGAGATTTTGTATGGTTGCACTTTCATTGTCAGTTATCCCAGGATATTTTCAGCGTTCCCTTTTGATTTCATCATGACCCATTATTTTTTTAGTAGCATGTTGTGTCCTCTCCACCAATAGTTTGTTTTTTTTTTTTTCTTGTTTCTGTTTCTGTGGTCGATTTCTAGTTTCATACTGTTATGGTCAAAAAAGATACTTGAAATAATTTCTACCTCTTCAGTTTGTTGAGGTTTGCTTTATAGCCTCATCTGTGGTAACTCCTTGAAAATGTTCCATGTGCACTCAGAAATTATGTGTATTCTTGGATCTTTTTAATGTAGTGTCCTGAAAATATCAATTAAATCTGTTCTAGTGTGTCATTGATTTTCTGTCTGGAAGGTCTTGCCATTGATGTGAATATGGTGCTAAAGTCTCCTATTATTGTATTCCCATCAATTTCTCCCTTTATGTCTGTTAGTATTTGTTTTATGTATTCAGATGCTCCTGTGTTGGGTGTATATATGTTAACAAGTGTAATATCCTCTTATATTGATCTTTTCATCATTATTTAGTGTCCTAGTTTATCTTTTTTTATGGTCTCTATTTCAAAGTTTATTTTTCCTCATGTGAGTATTGCTAGCCTCTCTTTCTTGCCACTGCTGTTTGCATGATATACTTTTATCCATCCCCTCACTTTTAATCCATATATGTCATTTGCCCCCTAAAGTGGATCTTTTGTAGGCAACATATTGTAGGCCCTTTTTTTTTTTTTTTTTTTTTTCATCCAGTCTGCCACTCTTTGACTCTGGATTGGAACATTTAGTCTATTGACCTTTAAGGTAATTATTGGTATATATTTCCATTTTAAACCTTGTTTTCCAGTTGTTTTGTATTTCTTAATGTTTCCTTTTTCTTTTTGTCTTTCCTTTTGTGGTTTGATGTCTTCTTTTGTATTATGCTTTCGTTCTCTATTGGGTTTTGTGAATCTATTGTGTATTTTTTATTTGTGATTACCCTATTTTTCAGATGTTTTAACACATTCCAAACCCTTGCTTCAAACTGGTAATATATAGGCTCAAACATACTCTTAAAAATCTATATTTTACTACTCTTCTCCCCCATATTTTATGATTTTGATGTCCTTTTTCACACCTTCATGTTTATCCTTTTGCTGGTCATTGTAGTTATTGTCACTTTCTTTCACAATATTTTTTTAATCTGTGTAGTGGCCTATTTAAGTGGTTTACTTTCCAGCTGTGATTTTTTTCCCCCTACAGGTTCTTCCTTATTTTCTATTTAAAGAAGACCTTTCAATATTTCTGTTAGGGTAGGTTTAGTATTGCTGTATTTTTTTTTAGCTTTTTGCTTGTCTGATAAATTCTTTCTCTCTCCTATTTTAAATGACAGTGTTGCTGGTAGAGTTTGCTAAGTTGTAGGTTTCCCTTTCAAAACATCAAATGTCACTTTCTTCTGGCCTGAAACCTTTTGTAGAGAAATCAATCGATAGGCTTAAGTGGGTTCCCTTTGTAACTCTGTTTTTACTTCTGCTGACTAGAAACCTTTCTCTAACTGCTATTTTAATTATAATATGTCTTATTTTGGGTTTGTTTGGGTTCATCTTTTTTTTGGGGGGGGAGCTTCTGTGCTTCCTTTACCTGGATATCTGTTTCCTTCCTTAGATTTGGGAGATTTTCAGCCATAATTTCTTTCAGTGTTTGCAATCCCCTTTTCTCTTCTCCTGAGATCCCGTTATGCATAGATTAGAACACTTTATATTATCCCATAGGTCTCATATATTGCTTTCATTTGTCTTTTTGTCTGCTGCTCTTATTGGGTGATTTCCATTATTCTACCTTCCAGATCATTTATTCATTTTCTTTATCATTCAGTTTGCTATTTATTGCCTTTAACTTGGCTTTAATCTCAGCAAATGAGTTTTCTAGTTTTTCTTGATTCCTGTCTGTAATTACTAGTTACTTGTTACAGAGATCTGCATTTCTATTGATAACCTTTCTTAATTCTTCAGTAGTTTTATTACCTCCTTTTTGAGCTCAGGTTCTAGTAGACTGGAGAAGTTTGTTTCATTTTTCTTTTTTTTCTTTTCCTTACTGGGGAATTGTCTTGATCTTTTAACTGGTTATGGTCCCTCTTCATTTTAATTACATTTTTCTGACTCTGTTAATTTAGGAGAAATAGCTATCTACTGTGGTCTTGGAGGACTGATTTTATGTAGGAGCATCCCTGGGTAGCCTGCATGAATCTCATATTTGGGGTGAGGGCTCTTTTATTACAGGTGCCTGTCAAGTCTTTTCTCAGTGTATGCTGGCCGTTATCCCCTTGATGGGGGTGTGACTGGTGCTGTGACCAGAGCTTCCAGTGGATACTGAGCAGGGCCTCCTCTTGGCTCTCTGGTTCTCAGAGCCCTGCTGGGAGCAGAGCTGCTCCTCAGGTGTTGGAGTAGAAGTCCCCAGATCCATGTCAAAGCTGTGGTATGAGAAAGGCAGGACTGGAGTGCTCCCACTGGGAGAGAAGCCACTGCATAATTCCTCCGCAGAAGCTGTCCACTGGGAGTGCACTCTGTGGTGCTGCCTGTCACTCATCGTGTGGGCTCATAAAGTACATTGTTGGAATTGCCCTTGCCCCTTCTCAACCATGGGAATGCAAGCAGTTGGCCTGGATTACCCTCAAGCACTGCTCACAAAACCACTAGCACAGATCTACAGGCTCAGGTCCCCTGTAGTTAGGCACCTAAACTGTCATGGTCACACACCTGGATCTGCCATGAGAGCTACAGACCCCAGTCCCACCTATGTATGTTCTTGCCCCCAAAGCTTGCAACTGTTCGTGCCAGACCTGCCCCAGCCACAGGAGCGCCAGTAATCTGCTTGTATGTCCAACAGGTGCTGAGCTTGCAAAACCACCAGCATGGCGTAAATCCATAGATTGATCAGCGCTGAGACGTAGCTCAGATTTCAGCCCCACCTCCAAATGTGGGCATCACTTCAGCTCTTGCATCCTCCCAGAGCTCATAAAGGAAGAGCCACACTGCTGTGAGCACACAGAGATTAAAGATGCTCTGGTGGGGCCCTGCCCTTCCCTTCTCTCGAGGGTTACCCTATTAACAATGGGGCTTCTACAACAGACTCAGGCTCAATCCTGTGTACACCTCTGAAGCACACCCCACCTCCTTCAGGCTGTTTCTGCACAGCCAACCCCTGTCCTCTCCCAAGGTCTGTCCCCTGGACCCCAAGTTTCAGCACCCAGCCCGTTACGTCCACTAGCAGACGTGTGTCCTTGGCTGGGGATTGCAGCGAGGTGGTCAGGACTGTTAGTGCCAATCTCTCTCTGTTCTGCCTGTGGCAGACTAGTTACTGCACTCTGCTCTGAGTCTCTGAAGCTCTCTTTCCATCCTGGTGGACATTTCAGCCAGTGAAAGGGGTTCCCAGGGTGAAGGAACCTTTCCTCTTTCACAGGTCCTTCCTGAGAGCCTAGAGCCTGTCCCAACTTTTTTTCTTCCTACCCAGATTCTTGGTGATCTTTCTTGCAGCTTTGTTTGTATGAGGTCTGTCAGCTTTCAGATGGTATTCTGTGAGAATTACTCCACATGTAGATGTATTTTTTATGTATTTATGGGAGGTATATGTGTTTATCTTTTCCACCATCTTGATCGCTGGTATAATTTTTGCCTTCTTTTTTTTTCTTCTAAATTCATTTATGTTTTTCATAAGCTAATCATCCTAGTTTATTTAATTCCTATGTGCAACTCTATAATCAGTTAAAAAGGTTTTTATTTTGTTTCCTCTACATAAAGGCCTACAACAGTGAATTCTTTGATTTCAAGATATGGATTTCAGGAGCAGCTTCTTTACTGTGAGTTTGATTTAAATTGCATTTCACTTAATTAGCTTTTGAATAGACTAAATATAAAACTTAACTAATTATATTTTTACCTCTTTTAATCTTAAAACATTAAAATATTTCTAGTTGTGAAGTTTATCTGTACCATTTTTCATGTATGTGTCTTATCTGTTATATCCACCATTTAGTATTAGGTACCTCAAGAGGAATGGAATTTTTTTAAATTGTGTATGTGTATAAAATACTGTGCTGTGTGTATGCATAGATAGAGAGATTTTAAATTTTAGGATTAAGAATAATTTTCACTTTGCTTCTTAACAATTTTTACTAAATTTTTTTATTAAATTAAGTGTGTGGAGGCTTCCCTGGTGCCTCACATGGTTAAGAATCTGCCTGCAATATAGGAGACCCAGGTTCAATCCCTGGATCAGGAAGATCCTCTGGATTAGGAAATAGCAACCCACTCCAGTATTCTTGCCTGGAAAATGCCATGGACAAGAGGAGCTAGTGGGCTATCGTCCATGGAGTGTTTAGCTAAAAAAAATTTACAAAAAGCTTATAGCATTAAAAGTATATTCTTAGCATTTAAAAAATACAGTAATCTCTCTAAAATAATGTTGGTCCATTGACTATTTTGTGTGTCTGTGAAACTCTCTTTTTCAAACTTTAATTTTGTATTGGTGTACAGCCGATTAACAATGTGGTAGTTTATATGTATATGTATGACTGAGTTCTTGCGCTGTTCATCTGTGAAACTCTTAAGAGGTTTTGAAGGGTTTTTTTTTCCCCTAAGCTTGACTGGAATAATTTTTTAAAGCAGTGGCTTAATTTTTCAACTCAGGTATACCTGCTGTACAAGTATAAGAATTAAATAATAGAAAAGAAATTCAAATACAGAACCAAAAATTTAATTTTTATTTACTATGTTTTACAGAATGTGGAGATAAATTTTTTAAGAAAAATTTAAAATTAAAAATGTGATGTATTTTGGAATCTGCTTAATTGGGTTTGGTGAAATTTCATTATAATGTAAACTTCTTTAAGTAATAACTGATAACTTGATAATTTTTGTCTGAATTTAGCTTGGATTTGTGTTGTACAGTCACACAAAATTTTAAATTATGTGTTTGAAATTTAGACCTTTCTGATGTATTCTGATTTACTCAACAATGGAATTCTGAAATTCATTTTTAAACTAATTTTTATTTCTGTTAAAGGCTAAGTTTCCTGAATCATTTTGTCCCAGACATCTTTTGAATGTTCTTGTTGGTACACTTAGAAATAACTCCTTCCTATCTGCTTTATCTTTTTTTTAGGGGATTGATATTTAAAGCAACAAAGTGTGTAGTTAAATGTTACAGTTTAAATAAAGAGCATAAATTTCCCACCAACAGTGTAAGAGGGTTCCCTTTTCTCCACATCCTCTCCAGCATTTATTGCTTGTAGACTTTTGGATAGCAGCCATCCTGACTAGCGTGAAATGGTACCTCATTGTGGTTTTGATTTGCATTTCTCTGATAATGAGTGATGTTGAGCATCTTTTCATGTGGTTGTTAGTCATCTGTATGTCTTCTTTGGAGAAATGTCTGTCTAGTTCTTTGGCCCACTTTTTGATCAGGTCTTTTATTTTTCTGGAATTGAGCTGCAGGAGTTGCTTGTATATTTTTGAGATTAATTATTTGCCCATTGCTTCATTTGCTATTATTTTCTCCCATTCTGAAGGCCGTCTTTTCACCTTGCTTATAGTTTCCTTTGTTGTGCAAAAGCTTTTAAGTTTAATTAGGTCCCATTTGTTTATTTTTGCTCTTATTTCCAATATTCTGGGAGGTGGGTCATAGAGGATCCTGCTGTGATTTATGTCAGAGAGTGTTTTGCCTATGTTTTTCTCTAGGAGTTTAATAGTTTCCGGTCTTACGTTTAGATCTTTAATCCATTTTGAGTTTATTTTTGTGTATGGTGTTAGAAAGTGTTCTAGTTTCATTCTTTTACAAGTGGTTGACCAGTTTTCCCAGCACCACTTGTTAAAGAGGTTGTCTTTTTTCCATTGGATATCCTTGCCTCCTTTGTCGAAGATAAGGTGTCCATAGGTTCGTGGATTTATCTCTGGGCTTTCTATTCTGTTCCATTGATCTATATTTCTGTCTTTGTGCCAGTACCATACTGTCTTGGTGACTGTGGCTTTGTAGTAGAGCCTGAAGTCAGGCAGGTTGATTCCTCCAGTTCCATTCTTCTTTCTCAAGATTGCTTTGGCTATTCAAGATTTTTTGGTATTTCCATACAAATTGTGAAATTATTTGTTCTAGTTCTCTGAAAAATATCGTTGGTAGCTTGATAGGGATTGCATTGAATCTATAGATTGTTTTGGGGTAGTATACTCATTTTCACTATATTGATTCTTACAATCCATGAACATGGTATATTTCTCCATCTATTTGTGTCCTCTTTGATTTCTTTCATCAGTGTTTTATAGTTTTCTATGTATAGGTCTTTTGTTTCTTTAGGTAGATATAGTCCTAAGTATTTTATTCTTTTCATTGCAATGGTGGATGCAATTGTTTCCTTAATTTCTCTTTCTGTTTTCTCATTGTTAGTGTATAGGAATGCAAGGGATTTCTGTGTGTTAATTTTATATCCCCCAATTTTACTATTTTCATTGATTAGCTCTAGTAAGTTTCTGGTGGAGTCTTTATGGTTTTCTATGTAGAGGATCATGTCATCTGCAAAGAGTGAGAGTTTTACTTCTTTTCCGATCTGGATTCCTTTCATTTCTTTTTCTTCTCTGATTTCTGTGGCCAAAACTTCCAAAACCATATTGAATAATAGTGGTGAGAGTGGGCACCCTTGTCTTGTTCCTGACTTTAGAGGAAATGCTTTCAATTTTTCACCATTGAGGATAATGTTTGCTGAGGGTTTGTCATATATAGCTTTATTATGTTGAGGTATGTTCCTTCTATTCCTGCTTTTTGGAGGATTTTTATCATAAATGGATGTTGAATTTTGTCAGAGGCTTTCTCTGCATCTGTTGAGATAATCATATGGTTTTTATTTTTCAATTTGTTAATGTGGTGTATTACATTGATTGATTTGCAGATATTGAAGAATCCTTGCATCCCTGGGATTTAAAAATAAATAAATAAATAAATAAATAAATTTGGTGTTAATGGCAGCACCAGTAGGTGGCAGAGTTGAAGTTTGAACTTAGGCTGTCTGGATCCATACCTATCCTCTTAACCATGGCATTATACTTCTGTTATAGTTAGTGTTTAAATGTGTTGCCTCAGCTTAAGCAGTGGAAGTGTAATTTATACAGATTTTCATGGCTTCATTTTACACTGTTGATTCTAATAGGATCCAGGTGTCTTGATTTTCTAAATATGAGAATATTGAACTTGGTTACACCAGTGATTGTGTATTATCTATTCTGAAATTGTATAGTCATCTACTTTTAATCATGAGATAGATAATGGAATGTTTTTCCAAAATAACTCAGACTAAACAGTTCAACATTAATATTAATTAGTTTGAGTTACAGTTCAGCATCTTTAGCTAGTTGACACATTTTCCTGAATTTATGACATGAGTATTCTCATAAATGGCAGGAAAGTTTTGTCTAAAATATGATGTCTTTATTTAGTATGCAACTTGAATTTTAAATTGCTTTTTTTAAGGATAGTAAATAAATGGTGAAATTGTAAAGTGCTTTACTTTCTGAGATTTTTACTTGCTCTGTTTCTGTTTGTTTTTCTTTTAAGCTGTTCTTGAAGAACTTGTTAATAATGGACGCTTACGAGGCACTGTGGTTGGTGGGAGACAGGATAAGGCAGTGTTTATCCCTGACATTTACTCCAGAACACAGAGTGCTTGGGTGGATTCTTTTCTCAGGCAGAACGGCTATCTCGGTAACTTTTTTTTTTTTTAAACGAAAAATCATTTTTAATGTTAAACACATTCTTAGAAAAACTGTATTAACCCTGGGAGTGAGTACACATGTACTTTACTGTTGGCCAACAGACTAGAGTGGTTCTCTTTGAATATGAAAGTAGTCACATTGAAGGTTTTTGTGAGTCATGTAACTGAGTTTAATTCCATAGTCACTGAACAGTTGTAATGTAGAAAGGCCAAAGCTAGTATTGATTGTTACCAGCCTTCCAGTAATGTGATACTGTATATCAAATACTTCCAGTTCTTTTTAATTCTTAAAGAGTAATTGTTTTTATAACACAATTTATGAAGTTGCCTGGTTTACATAATCTTAGAAATACTTTATTCGCTGTCAGTTTTATCATTTTTATTAGTTATCCAGTATTTCAGAAACATTGAAGTTATACTAAGTTCTTTTTCTGGGGTTCCATCATTTGGATGAAATACATTGATTGAATTTAATCATTAAAACAAGTAGTGCATGTGTGTGTATGAGTCACTCAGTCATGTCTGACTCTTTGCTACCCTATGCACTGTAGACCACCAGGCTCCTCTGTCCATGGGGTTCTCCAGGCAGGAATACTGGAGTGGGTTGCCATTCCCTTCTCTAGGGGAATCTTCCCGACCCAGAGATCGAATCCAGGTCTCCTGCATTGCAGGCAGATTCTTTACTGCCTGAGCCACTAGAGAAACCCAAGAGATAAGTTACCTAAAAATAAGTAAATCCGTAAGTCATTAGTGTTCAGTTTAAATGTGTGCTCAAATGAGTACTGGCTTGACTTACGTTTTCTTGACTTGACTTTCTATAATGTGCCTTTGCAGTTCTTCAGCCAAGGACTTGAATTAAAATTTTGTTGTAATTAATTTTCTTTTATTATTTGAGGACAGAGAGAGGTTGGTAGCTATCTCCAGTAACTTTAATGGCTGCACATTTAAGTCTTAAATATTTTACTTTTTATATACTAGATCTTTTACTAGTATAAATTAGACTAAAAAATTGCTATTGTCAGTTGTCTGATAAAACATTTGAAAAATAAATTCCATTCCTTTAGCTAACTGTGATAAGCAAAATTTCAATTTTTGTTTCTCTAATCATTACATTCCTTTATCCTCAGTTCTGTTTTTATTGCCCTTTTGTCTTTTGTCCTCATCCTTCCCTTCAACTCCTCAGTTGGAGAGTAAAAGACAAAGCAGGATTAATGAAGTACTTGAACCAATTTATCTACAAATATGTTTAGCAATAAAAATTTGGGAGTGTGACATAGGGCCCCAGTGGCTCAGCAGTAAAGAATCTGCCTGCAGTGCAAGAGATGTGCAAGAGCAAGGGTTTGATCCCTGGGTTGGGAAGATCCCCTAGAGAAGGAAATGGCAACCCTCTCTAGTATTCTTGCTTGAAAAGTTCATGGACAGAGAAGCCTGACAGGCACACTGCAGTCCATGGGGTCTCAAAGAGTCGGACACGATTGAGCACGTGTGCAAACACGGCACAAGGTAACATAACCAGGAAAGAGGCTGTGATATGTTTTATTCTTAAATACAATGCATTCCCAAAGACTAGATTTTGATAGAACTTAACATTTTTTAAGAATTCTAAGAGTGATTAACAATTCTATTCCAATCTTGTAATGTATTTCTAGAATTTGATGCTTTGTCCAGACTTGGAATCCCAGATGCTATGAGCTACATAAAGAAAAGATATAAGACTGCACAACTCTTGTTTTTGAAAGCAGCTTGTGTTGGCCAGGGACTTGTGGATCAGGTGGAAGCATCAGTAGAGGAAGCCATCAGCTCTGGAACATGGGTTGATACTGCAGTATGTTTTATCTTTTTCTTCTTAATTTTCCTTTAAGCCAAGGACAGCTCGTATTTCACTAGCATATGACCATTTTAAGAATTAGGATACAGCTCTCAGGAGGAATACTTTCATGGTTAGGGGAGGGAGAAGGGTGTTAATGAAAATGATAATTTCAGAAGCAGAAACAGCTAAGAAGAAATGTATTTTGGAGGCAAAGGTATCAAGAATTGAAGTTAGATTGTGAGTTTATGAGAGGAACAAAGTGTGACTTGTAGGTTTAGGGCCTGATCAATGGAATGGAAAGTGGGTCCATTGGTTAAGATGGGGAACAATGGGGAAGAGAAGATGGGAGCTGAGTTCTGGGCACACCCGGAGGCACAAACCAAGTTGTTTTGAACAGGACATGTTAAAGTTTGAGATGCCTGTTTTTAGGTATGAGTCCAGGTGGGTTAGGGAAGCAGTAGGATATGTGATTTCAGAGTGGTAATAAACTTAGAAATATAATTTGGGAGGTTGTTCAGCATATAGATGGTTCCAAAACCATCGAACTTAATGAGATCACTTAGGGAGAGCATATATATTAACAAATGGTTGATCTGTATTATATTGCATTTATACTTTGTTTTCATTTTGTTTGTAATTCTAGCCTCTGCTACCCAGTTCCTTATCAGTTGAAGACGCTGCAATATTGCTTCAACATGTAATGAGAGCACTCAGCAAACAGGCTTCAGCTGTAGTCTTCAGCGATACTATTGTAGTCAGTGAAAAATTTATAAATGATTGTACAGACCTGTTCAGTGAACTGATGCACCAGAAAGCTGAAAAGGTATGCCAGATTTCCTTTCACCTACTGATTTAACAGTATTTTCACATTATAGTCATCTGCTGACTTTTGAAAATAAGATAAGCAGGACACCCAAAACTGAACACTGTTTCATACATTATTTTCCTTCAGTGCATCATTCCTTTTTATTTCCTCTCCTGGATTTGTTTTTCTCCTCCTTCATTCCCATCCGAACACAGAAGTTAGAACATAGGAAGCTGATTTTATAAATCGAAATCTCATTAATGAAATTATACACTTATAGCCTGAGAGTATTGATCCAACATTAAAATCCGTAAAAATGATACCACTGGATTATATGCATAATATAGAGTGTATCTGTTTCTCAATACACATTATATTTACTATATTTAGCAGAGCCTATTTAGTAGTTTAACCTAATTTAGTAGTTACCAGCCAGATAACTTACTGAGGAAAGAAATTGTTACTATCCAAATTGATTAGCTCCTCAGAGCAACTGCTGTGGAAGTATTTAGAAGCAGAGGTCATACCATGTCTGCTTCAATGACTGTTGAATTCCTTTTTCTCGTTAAAAGCACCCCCATTATAAAGCCTGCTCACAAATAGGTAGAAAAAGCCCATTTATATCTCAGACTGTTAATAAATTCATGAGGGCTTATTAAGTATATAATTTGTGTTTATCTGTATTCCTTCTAAGCTCCTTAATAGTCTTAAAAATGACGTAACTTTCTATATTTGGCCTGCAAACCAGCAGAGAGGAGTAAAAAGTACACTGGATTGATATCTGTAAACCTGAGTTCTAATTTCAGCTTGCTTATTACCCTGTAGGTGTTTGCAAATAGACCTCCAGTTTCCCTGTCTTCAAAGAAAAGGATGGTGATGCCTATTCTTACAAGGATAAATGTGAATTAAGGAGTGATATAAATAAAATGTCTGATACATGTTAGCTACCAGTTAGTAAATGACTACATTATTATTTTCATTTGTGACCTTTTACTAAACTACAGTTTAACACTATTGTGTTTTTTCTTGTTCTCCCTCCAACCACAAAAATAAATTCAGGGGAAAAAAATTTCCTTTGTTTGAACTGTCATTTCAAATAAAATGACACTAAAACAAAATGATATAACATTTCATTGGAAAACTGAAAAGGAAATATTTTCAACAAGAAAATGTTTTTCACTGCAGATTTAGAACCATTTTCTGAACTTTGAAATAGTTCCTTGTTTCTAACATAAATTTATAAAAAAGCAGAGATCAAGAATGAGTCCAGAGTGGGGAAAAGTTTTAAAAGTATGCAACTCATATATGATCATTATTGTGGGAATGGAGATTTCATTATCTTTCTAGTAATCTTGGATATCCAAGTGGTACTGGACCAAGGAAGTCTTGAAAAGAGAGGAAGAAAGGGTCATCTGTTAGGCAGTGGAAAAATTAGCCAATAACATTTAAAGAGGATTCCATCCAGTACTGTGTGACCAGTTAGTTCTTATGTGATCTGGCATAGCATTTCTCATTACCTGGTGATAAATACAAAATGTCAAGGACAGCAAGGAAGGAGATTGATTTGGGGCAAGGACTAACAATCTGAGTGGCAGCTCAGACAGAGCTCTATAATTCTTAGCAGTGAAACCAAACAAAAAACAATTAGGATATGAGTATAAAAACAAGTTTTATTTTATGCATTTTTTAATATTTTATATTTTCACCTACAAAAAATAAGCATGTTTTATTTCAGGAAATGAAAAACAATCCTGTTCATTTAATCACTGAAGAAGATCTGAAACAAATCTCCATTTTAGAAAGCATTAATACAAGTAAAAAGGATAAAAAAGATGAACGAAGGAGGAAAGCAACAGGTAACAAATTATTAATAACATGGAAGATTTCTTATTCATTTCAGTGAACTTTGTTTTTATCAGACCTTTAGGAAGGCCTTTTGTTTAATTCACCTGCTGATACTAACCAGATCTTTTGCTAATGAATTAACTTGATTATAAAAATGAAAATATTGATGGTTACTCTTTTATTTTGTGAGAATTAAGCTAGTTTCATGACCTCCTGTTCCCATTGCTCTTTAATGTTCCAGCCCCAGTAGCTTTCTTTTTTCTTTCTTGGTTCTCAGATTTTGCAAGTTTATGTTCACTTCTACCTGGAGTGGTCACAGGAGTTCAAATAACTGTTTCCTTCTTATCATCAAGAGCTCCCCTTGAAATGTCAGTTCCTCACAGAGGCCTCCCCAGCCACCACCCAGAATAGTGGACAACACTGTCAGTCTCCATATATTATTCTCCTAGTTTTTTACATCACTTTTATCACTGTGATGTCTTTTATCATTTTGGAATCTTCTCCATCTCATTTATTGTTGTTTCCCTAATACTTAGAGCACTCCTTGGCATATTTTAAGTGCTCCATAAATATTTATTGAGTGAATGAATTTCCCGAGGGCGGTTTTTATGTATTCTTTTAATTTAGAATCACTGGAAATTATCCTAGGTATCACTGGTATACTAGTAACTTGCATTGGGAAATTAACACGCATTTTCCATACTTTTTGTCATTTGAAAAATTTTATTAGTGCTATATCAAGGTTAAAGAAATTAGATATTCAAAGTATTTAATCAATAAATATAGCTATATTGACCATGCATTATAAAAACTTTATTTGTTGTGGAAGTTCACTACTTCAAGATTATTTTTCTCTTCAAAAATCTTTTTCTACAGAATCAGTAATGGTATTTTGAAATTTCTCTATTCTAGGAAAACTATATGGTAAACTGCTATAATAAGTCATAGTTTTCATAGCAGTGCATATTTTGTTAATTGAAGATTTAAATCCACTTAATCAGTTGGTTGTACTTAGTATAACTAGCCTGTTTTAGATCCTTCTTAAAATTCAGGGTCATCTGGTGTTTTGTTCTGATAATGCTGTTATAATAGTATAATTACAGTTCATGGAATAATGTCAAACATATTTACCATAAGAACTTTATTGCCAAATGTAAAAAACACATTCACTTTAAACTTTCGTTTTGAAAGTTGTGGTTTTCTATCATAAAAGCAATAGAACTTATACAGTATGATAAAATCTAGGTGGCTTAGCTGATAAAGAATCTGCCTGCAATGTGGGAGACCTGGGTTCAATCCCTGGGTTGGGAATATCCCCTGGAGAAGGAAACGGCTACCCACTCCAGTGTTCTGGCCTGGAGAATTCCATGGACTGTATAGTCCATGGGGCTGCAAAGAGTCGGACACGACTGAGTGACTTTCAGTTCACTTTGACTTTAAGGGAATTCCACTTAGAGTTTAGAAAAAAAAATCTTTGTTTATATATATATATCATTCTATTTAAAGACTGAATCTTTTATGAAGAAATATATTTTCAATATTTTTCAATGTTATAATCCCATTATTTTGTTGAATAGATATTTTAAATGTAGATATATAATAGAGAAATACCTCTAATTTTTACTTTTATTTATGGTGTTTTAGTCTGTTTCTTGGTTTGCATTTTTTTAGTCTTTATTTAGCCAGTAGGTGATTGATATTTTTCCACTTAGCCAATTTATGGTCAACATTTATTGAGCACCTGTTATCTGTCCAGCATTGCCTTAACCCCTAGGATGTGGACATTAGTGAGAGAGGCTCCCTACTGTCAAGAAGTTCATTGTCTTTTTTAGGGTGGTAGGAGAGTCAGCATGTCTCCTGTAAACCTGGGGAGTAATCTTTCAATCAAGAAGACAAAACCAAGTTTGTGAGGTACTGGAATAGGGACTGTTACTGAGGCTGTGGTAACAGAGATAAGCAACTTAGGGCAATTTTGAGGAAGATGGAAGGAAGGTAAAGGGATGGGTTTGGCCAGGAAAAAGTCAAAGCTTCAGAAATTAGATGTTATTAGAGAGAAGACTGCATTTAGAGTAGATAAGCTATCTAAATGAGTTGCTTTAATTCAAATATTTCATCTTATTATTTTTGTTTGAATTTACAAAATATTTTAATAAACCACAACATTAAAAAGTGGCTAAAAGTTAAGTTTATTTGGCTTTTCTTTTTCTACTCTAAATATGACAATATAGCGTGATTATTTCTAAAAACAGTATTAGGTAATACTAACTAATGTCATTTTCCCACCAGAGGGCAGTGGAAGTGTGAGAGGAGGAGGTGGCGGCAATGCCAGAGAGTACAAAATTAAAAAAACAAAGAAGAAAGGAAGAAAAGATGACGACAGTGATGATGAGTCATCTCACACAGGTGTGTAGCTCATTTCACTTCTCCTTTGAATGTGTGTGATTTTTTTTTAACTTACTTTCTTAAAATGCATAGTGAGGTGTCTGTGATTATGCAGGAAGTCCTTGCTTTGCAGAGTTTCAGTGGGCACAGTTTCACAGTTAAATACACCAGTACCCCCACAATGCAGTTCATATTTCAGTTACCAGGGTAGTGTACTAACTGAGTAATTACATAAAGTACAGACTTTAATGCTGGCCCCTTAATCCACAGATCACATAAATAACAGATGTGCATCATGATCTGTGACAGTTACATCACTTATTTCCAAGTTTGTCAGAGATTGATCACTGCGTCTCTTAACTTGCTTTATGCACTGAAAACATAGCATGTAGTTGTGTTACCTCCTTGTCCCCCGGTGATAAATCCATGTGACATTTTACAAAAATGGATAATCAAAAGAGGAAATTGGCCAACAAAGATGAATGTGTGGCAAAGGAAAGTGATAACACTGGAAATATGAATCAAGAATAAGTGGAGTTGTAGAAGAAATACCTGACTCTGGGAATGTTGAAGTTGCCTCTGTTCAAGAAACTTTAGCTGTGCAGAGGAGCTTGGTAAAGGCACACTTGACGTAAATAAGCGAAATGATTATGACAAAAAGGATAAAGATGTCTGTAGGGCGTGAAATTGACAAAAAAAGCTTCACCTTAAGGGAATTCTCAGAAGTGTTCCACAGTGTTGAGAGGGCAAAGAATAAAATGTTGGAAGCTGATTGAGAGTTAAAAAGGGAATATGACAGCTTGCTCAAGCATAGAAAAGATGCTTGCTCTGTATTTTAAGTTACAGGATGAGAAGAATGCAAGCAGTGTTCAAATTATTCTTGATAAGTTTTTTACAAAGAAAACATTTTCATTCTCAGTGTTTCTGATGCATTAAATTACAGTGTACTAAATTAGAATTATTAGTCTTATTTTTCATTTCCATATACATTCATAACCAGGAATAAGAACTTCGAATGTTTTCACAAACATTTTTAAAAGGTTACAGAACAATCAAATTTTCCCATTGCAGTTTCAGCTTGCATAGATTTTTATGGTCTCCCAGCTTCCATGCAAAGCAAATTAGAACATTTTATGAAAAGTGACTCTCTGCAAATTTAAGTTAAAAATAATTTTATCCATGTTTAATTTTTATGGTAACACCTAATTGTTTGGTTGCTTCTATCTAAGCAGAGGAACTAGATATATGCATCTTTCTTTGTCTAGACTTTAGTTAGTATTTGGTATGGTTAAGTTAGCAAGACATACCTTACTTTGCTATTCTAAATAAAAGTACAATTTTTTTTTTTATGTTTGTTTTAAAAATGAATGAAACTATGATACCTCCCCTTCTCCTTTTCCCCAACACAAAGAGAAACTTGAAATGACGATTTGAGATTTTTTTTTAACCTCTTCTTCAGAATTTATTATTTATCGGCTTGGGAAATATAAATATCAAGTGACAAGGCTGCAGATGTTAATACGCTACTACTTGTAACTCAACCCTTATTTTTAATTAGCATTAAGACTGTTCTATGTGAGTTCCTCAGAGGTTAAACAAGGAGTTAGGGGTGAAGGGTCATTTAAGAAAATACTTCTCTAAAATCTGTAGTCTTAAGTAATTGAGGCATTGTGATACTCCTTTTGTGTATAGTCTAGTAGGAGAGGAGCTATAAAAGAATTTTTTTAAAAGGCAACTTCAGTACTTTTGAAAAGCTGTTTGGTTGTAATCTCAGAAATGGGGGATGCAGTTTGATTCTCATCTAAAATACATGCTCAACTCTGTGTAAAAGATTACTAGAAGGAAATAATACAATTTAATAAATAGTCAAATACCTACAGGAAGCAGACAGAAAAGTCAGATACTGTTTGATGTCAGAGAGCAGGAATAAATAGCGGAACTCAGGAAAAAAAAAAAAAGGATAGTACTTTCCTATCTATTCTTAACCTACAAATTACTATCTTATTAAATATATTATTTGCTTGTAGGTTGCTTATTTTTGTTGTTTTTTCTTGTGGCTCATTTTTATTACAGGAAAAAAGAAACCAGAGATTACTTTTATGTTCCAGGATGAGATTGAGGATTTTTTAAGAAAACACTTACAAGATGCCCCTGAGGAGTTTATTTCTGAGCTTGCAGAGTATTTAATAAAGCAAGTATATGTTTTTTGTTTTATGGTAGAAATTTAGTGAGTTATTAAAATTTTCACAACCTCATAGAAAACATATAATATAGGTGTTTTGTTTGCTTATAGAAGTAGTTCAACAAATATTTAAGTGTGCTGGGCAAGGCAGTGCTGAAAATACAGAGCAGGAATGTGGAGGCGGTCTCATCTCCTTCTCTCTTCCAGTCCTAGTTGGAAGAAAAACAACATTGCGTGAAAAGTAACATCTAAAATGGAAAGATTATTCTCTGTCAAACAGAAGATAAACAGTGCACTTTTACAGAGAAAATAAAGTAACAAACTGCCCTCAAAGAGAATAAATTTAGACAGCACTACGTTATAAATGAGCCAGGCTAAATTTATTTTTATACAGAAATAAATTGTATGTAACGACTATCCCTGACTACCATGAAGTTTTCCCACAAGTTAGTCTGTGTGTGTAAGCTTCTCTAAACCCAATCCAGGAGCCCAGTGCCTCTAACTTTTTGAATTTAGAAATAGAGCTTTTGTAGTCAAATTTTTTAAAATTTAAATGAATGCTCTTGTGCATAAAAGTTACTATTAATCATTTGCCACTACATTTTAAAAGTCCATTCTGTGTTTAGCATAAGGATTTTTTAAAATACAGATCTTTTTATAGAAATTAAGAGTTTAAGTTATAAGTTATTACTCCTGAGGATGGGAAACAAATTTATAATCTGCTGTACTTATACCAGATTACCTAATTTAAAAAGCTGCTCTGAACTGAATTTGAATTGAAGCTTTTGTTAAAACAGTTTTTCTTGTTGTCTTTAGTGCAATAAATTTGATTACTTTATAACTTCAAATTAATTATTCTCAATTTTAATTTCTGGAATTAGAGGAAAAATTGTGAACCATTCTCTAAATCTTTAAAGCCTTATTTCCACAGAAGCAAAATTTCTTATTTACATAAGCCCAGTGCATTTTAATGAACTAAATATATTTATCTTATTCATAGACCTTTAAATAAAACTTACCTCGAAGTGGTACATTCAGTTTACATGTCTTCAACTTCTTCGGCCTCTGGAACTGGTAGAAAGCGCACGATCAAGGACTTACAAGAAGAGGTTTCAAACCTTTACAATAATATTCGATTATTTGAAAAAGGGATGAAGTTCTTTACAGGTATTATACTTAATAGTGTTTTTTCATTGATTCTCAGTTGTTCTTGGACATTTATTTTAATAAAGCATCTTTTTTTTTCCAGATGATACCCAGGCTGCTCTTACCAAACACCTGCTGAAAACAGTGTGTACTGATATCACTAATCTCATTTTCAACTTTTTAGCTTCGGACTTAATGATGGCAGTAGATGATCCTGCAACCATTACCAGTGAAGTAAGTTAGTGTTTTTCTTGTCACTCTTGATGCGTTTTGCTTTGAAGTCCAAGCACATTTTATTTTCTCACATCCTAAAATGAAAATGAAATTCAGGAAGGAGTTTTTAGAAATCTGTCAGATTTTTGGTTCAGGTTTAGTACACTGTATATACAGTTGCTACCAGGATTGGTAATATGACCAGTCTATTAACTACTAATAAAAGGAAATACTAGTCACTGCGTCTGGAAATGGCTGTAATAAATATGATAACATGCATACTTGGCCTTCTACTTCCTATTAGCATATAGAAAGCAACAGGAGAACATCATCTCTTTAAAAAAGATAAGTAAATAAGCTCTTGGGCTTCCCAGGTGGCACAGTGGTAAAGAATCCATCCACCTGCTAGTGCAGGATCCAGTTCAGGTCAGTTGCTCAGGCATGTCTGACTCTTTGCGACCCCATCAGCCGCAGCACACCAGGCCTCCCGGAGTTCACCCATGTCCATCAAGTCGGTGATGCCATCCAACCATCTCATCCTCTGTCGTCCCCTTTTCCTTCTGCCCTCAGTCTCTCCTAGCATCAGGGTCTTTTCAAATGAGTCAGCTCTTTCTATCAAGTTTCAGCTTCAACATCAGTCCTTCCAATGAACATTCAGGGCTGATTTCCTTTAGGATGGACCAGTTGGATCTCGTTGCAGTCCAAGGGACTCTCAGGAGTCTTCTCCAACACCACAGTTCAGAAGCATCAATTCTTCGGCTCTCAGCTTTCTTTATTGTCCAACTCTCACATCCATACATGACTACTGGAAAAATCATAGCCTTGACTAGACGGACCTTTGTAGGCAAAGTAATGTCTCTGCTTTTTAATACACTGTCCAGGTTGGTCATAACTTTTCTTCCAAGGAGTAAGCGTCTTTTTATTTCATGGCTGCAGTCACCATCTGCAGTGACTTTGGAGCCCCTGTTTCCCCATCTATTTGCCATGACGTGATGGGACTGGATGCCATGATCTTAGTCTTCTGAATGTTGCGCTTTAAGCCAACTTTTCACTTTCACTTTGATCAAGAGGCTCTTTAGTTCTTCGCTTTCTGCCATAAGGGTGGTGCCATCTGCATATCTGAGGTTATTGATATCTCTCCCAGCAATCTTGATTCCACCTTGTGCTTCTTCCAGCTCAGCATTTCTCATGATGTCCTCTGTATTTTTGACATGTAGTGAATATACAATCTCAAAGGATTTTTTTTTCACCCTATAGGTAAGAAAAAAAATTCTAAGTAAATTATCAGAAGAAACAAAAGTGGCTCTCACCAAACTCCACAGCTCTCTGAATGAAAAGGTAAATAAAGTTTTACTGTGTTTAGATACTTGAGCTAGAATTTGTGATCTTCGAATGGATTTTTATCAAAATAACTGAAAACTAAATTTAAAACTATTAATCCTACACTCAAGACATCTCTTTGGAGGGTGAAGAAAGAGACAAAGCTGGGGACACTTTACTGTCTAGTCCTAAATCACAGTTTCAAACCTAATGACAAAATGACCTTTTTAAAAATTGTATTCAGGGTATAAAACTATAAAACAGTATTACATGACCGCTTTTCTTTAGGTGACTGTTTATAAAAGTAAATAATGGTTTAAACACCTTTCCAGAGCATAGAAGACTTTCTTGGTTGTCTGGATTCTGCAGCAGAAGCTTGTGATATTATGTTGAAGAAAGGAGACAAAAAAAGAGAAAGGTAACACTGAATTAATGTCTGAAATTGGAGTCTGACTGTCTGAATCCTGCAGACAGAACTGTTGTATCTAAATGACTGTAGACCTTCAAACGTAGTCAGTCTTCATATCCTTAGGTGTCCCTCTCTGACCCAGTGGAATAAGGTAATCAGAGTTCTTAATCCCATAGCTGATCAAGCCTAGGAATTAATAATTCTTATTAGCCTTAAGACCTTCTTCATAGGAAGCCTTATTTAAACCAGTGCACTTCTGTTTGATACCCAACAATTCAAAATAAAAAACATACTTTGAGAATCCCTGATGTATAGTTTCTCTATCATTTTTTAGCATACTAGTTTATCCACGCTGTTCAGAACTATGTGTCTGTTGCATAAAGGTCCCTTAAATTGTTTATGAAACTAGATAAACTGGGAAAGCTAATAAGGGAAGAACTGAAATTGGTGAGAACTTATTAGAATATGATAACGTGCTTGTGTTACTTTCTTTTTATTTAGGCAGATACTGTTTCAGCATCGGCAAGCACTGGTTGAACAGCTAAAAGTCACAGAAGACCCTGCTCTTATTCTGCATCTCACATCGGTTCTATTGTTTCAGTTCTCAACCCATAGCATGCTCCATGCACCTGGAAGATGTGTCCCCCAGATCATTGCTTTTCTGAATAGTAAAATTCCAGAGGTATTATATTTTCAGTCTACTTGAAACTTAAAAATTTTAGATTCTGAATATTTTGAGTGGATAGATGTGAATCTAATACACAGAACATATTAAACATCATGTTTCTGCTTCCTAGAATGGGAACAGTGAAGGATATTGATTTTTAAAACTCAGACTAGTTCAGGAATCTTTCAGGATCCTTTAAGATCTCTGGTAAAGAATATTCTGAATTTAGAAATTAAGTTTTTGGAAGTGATATAATAATGTTCAGTCTTCCATTTCAGTTTATGCAGGTTTAACCTGTCCTTCAAGGATCAGCTCAAAAGTCTTACCCAACACACGTTCTTCTGAGGGACTTCTCAGCTAAAAGCAAACTGGCTTCTTTGAACTCTCATGTCACTTTGTCTTTGGTGAGAGAACCCAGCTCAGTCAACTTACATTAAAATTATCTGTATTCATGTCTTATCTCCACCAAACTACCTCTTTGAGAGTAAGGACCTTGCTAGATTCAGCTTTCTACTTTTATGACCAGTAATTTGTAAAGATGAAGACCTGCAGTGTATAATGATTGAATACATCTTACTTTGTCCCACAGAAAATTAAATCATGTTTGTTAACTTTCCTCTCCTTTCTCTTCACAGGATCAACATACTCTTTTAGTAAAGTATCAAGGTTTGGTTGTAAAGCATTTAGTCAGTCAAAATAAGAAGACTGGGCAGGGAGAAGATCCCTTAAGTGATGAATTAGACAAAGAACAAGAGGATATCATTAATACAACTCGTAAAGAACTTCAGGAGCTTTCCTCGTCCATTAAAGACCTTGTTCTCAAATCTAGGAAGTCATCAGTGACAGAAGAGTAATGATTTTAATTTACTTAATGTTGTCATACAGTAAATGTTTTCCCCCAAAGTTAAAGGTGAGTGGTTACCAAAAAAAAAAAAAAATACTCATTTCACAGTCCAGAATCCCCCCAATAGCATCTCCCACACCCACAATTCAGTTAAAACAGTAGCATTATATTTATTGTAAGTTTAAAAAAATGTAGGTTTCTGTAAATTGGGCTCTCCATGGAAGGTTTCTTTTTCACATTATTCTAAAAATTATACATTTCAAGTTTATTTTCTTCCTAGAAGCTGAATGAAAAATAAATTTTCTGATATCTTTTATCTGTAGGGAAGGACTCATTTGTTGTGTTACTAGATTTCAGGTGACATACGTAAATATAATTTACATAGAAACTTAAAATGTGGTCAGTGTTTTTTAAAGAAAGGGAAAAAACCTTTGGTGTCAAAATGAAAATAGTGTATTTTTCTTTAAAATTAATAGAGAATGCTTCAAACCTAAAACACAGAAGTTTGCCAACTGTTGTTTTTGTTTTATTACTAAACCCTTGCTCTTATTCCTGGCAGATAGAGGGCCTCTAGTTTCCCCCCCAAGAGTGAACTTCTGTGTGACTGGGGCTTCAGGGCTGTGTTTACAGAGACAGAATGCCTGAGGGCCCCATGCATTCCTGGGCTCTGTTCTAAATAAGATGCTGACGAGAGAGAAAAGGTATAATTTACTTCTAAGTGTTAGATCACATTCACTAAAAATGTAATACAGATAGTTTTCTATAACCCAGTTTGCATTTCTGAATTTCATTTTTCATATCATAGACACTGTCACCTAATACTTTATTGTAGGGGATCTATAATGCATTTAAATCATTGGAACTTTTTTTTTCAAAAATAGAAACTTATTAAGAAATAGATATTCTTAATTTGTAAAGATTAGCAATTAAAAGACTAAAGTAGTTCCTTGGAGTAATAATTTTAATCAAATGAGTTTTAAGCAACAACTTATTGTATATAAAAAAGGAATTTAATTATTTAAAATAGTAAATAAAATCTCAAATATTTTTAAAAATACTATTTTATATTATTCCTTATGTGGCATTTAAAACGATGTTTTAAAATGTTTGACTACAAAGATCAGTCTACCTCTAACCTAAGTCTAGACAAAGTATTAACATTCATTGAAAGAAATTAATATAATTTGCTCAGCAGTGTCAAAGTTGATAGGAATATAACAAATTTTAAAATATTGCCATTGGTAATTTTCTATTAATTATTTTCATAAGGGCAAAGGAAGAAAAATGACAAATCCTCTGTGACCACAAACTCCACTTAGTTCTGTTGATTCAGCTTCCAGAATACACCCAACCTAATTTTTTATTCAGTGCTTGTTTAAGGATATTATTACTTAGGTTTCAAGAGATACCAAAGTAATCCACATTTAAGTCAAAGTATCAGACAATGAAACAAAAATCCATTCTTATTTTGTTGCATTAAACTGTCATTAAATTTTTTCTTTTATCAAAATGGTTATTTTTCCACAGTAAATAAGCAGTTTTTAATTATTTTTGTAAATAAAATTACTTAGTTGATTTTGTATGTAAAAATCTAATTTCATTAATAAAATAAAAACTGTTAAATGCTTACTGTGCTCTTAATGGGCAGATTTGAGAATGTTATTTAGAATAAAGTTCTCTTTCTATTAAATTTTATGTACTTTGAATCTTCTAATTACTAGGATCGATGTATATGTGTGATATAAATACATTTTTAAATTGTTGTCCTGAATATTTTTAGAGGATTTTATTATGTTTGTACACAAAAGTAGTTCCATAGTCCTCTGTGTCTTTCATTCCTTGCAAGTTTGCCATTCATGAACCTTTTCACCTTAATAAATCATTTTCAGTTACCTGGATTTCAGCAAATGTATAGCTAAACTTTTATCTGCTATTAGTACTTCTTACTATTGCACATAATGGCAGGGATATTTGAATAATATGCTCAGGTATTTGTGTTCATATGTTCTATCTCCAGACCATTTGTTTTTGAATAGTCAAAGAAAACTCATTTCTGACCGTCAGAAAGAGTCAGTGAACAGTGGCTTATCTTCATCAAGTGTATTTCCCAAAAAGACCTTAACACAAAATTAGAAAAATAAGTGTAGAAGTTGCTTAACCTGAATGTAGACCCATCTTGAACTTTTTGGAGAATGTACTTTAGTCAGACAAGCACCAAGGGTGAATTCAAAGTGCAGCAGTAATTTGAAGTAGTGTGTCTATACAATGAAAAGAAACAGTTCATTCCTTCCTCAGAAATGCCACTTGACCCACAGCCAAATGGGATTTTTTTTCTATCAAGAACTAACTTACGTGAGTTGGGTAGGGGTAGGGAAAATGGAAGTGTTGCTGTCTTTGACTAATACCAATGAAGCCTTTGACCCCAGTGTACACAGTATATAAGGAAAATGAAAGAAACACATTTATAAATTCTGGCATGTACATTTTCCATAAAATCTGGGCGCACTATTAAAGTTATGGCTATTAAAATAGCCTACAGATTCACTCAAGTTGTTCCCCTCTGAAGGCCACACTAAGCAAAGAGGGGAATAAATAGAACCCAGGACTCCACAGCAATGGAAGAAAAAGAAATAAAAGGAATCCAAAGTGGAAAAGAAGTAAAACTGTCCTTGTTTGCAGATGACATGACACTATACATAGAAAATCCTGAGGATACTATGAGAAAACTACTAGGGCTCACCAATGAATTCAGTCAAGTTGCAGGATACAAAATAAATATATAGAAATCCATTACATTTCTTTACACTAACAATGAAATTTTAGAAATAAATTAAGGAAACCCATATAAAGAATAGGATACCTAGGAATAAACTTAACTGCAAAAGACCTGTACTCAAAACTCTTTTAAGATGCTGATAAAAGAAATTGAAGCCCACACAGATGGAAAGAGATTACCATGCACTTGGATTAAAAGTCAATATTGTTAAAATAACCATACTACTCAAGGCATTTTACAGATCCAGTGTAATCCCTATCAAATTACCAATTATATTTTTCACAGAACTGGAACAAAAAATTTTTTAATTGTATGGAAACACAAAAGACCTCAAATAGCCAAAACAGTCTCGAGAAAAAGCTGGAGGAACCTGGCTCCCCAACTTAAGAATATAAAGCCACAGTAATCAAATAAGTATGATGCTGACACGGAAACACACCCACAGATCAGTGGAGCAGAAGAGAGTCCAGAAACAAGCCCAAGTGTTTAAGGTGAATTATCTACAGCAAAGGAGGAAAAAATATACAGTGGAAAAAAGACAGTCTCTTCAATAAGTGGTGCTGGAAAAACTGGACAGCTGCATGTAAAAGAATGAAATTACAGTGTTCTCTAACACCATATAAAAAAAGAGACTCAATAAAGACCTAAATGTAAGACTAGATACTATAAAACTTGCAGAGGAAAATACAGAAAACTCTCATATAAATCCTAACTTTTTTTTTTATCTATCTCCTAGAGTAATGTAAAGGAAAACGAAAGTTTTAAAATGGGACCTAGTTAAACTTAAGAGCCTTGCACAGCAAGAGAAACCACAAAGAAAATGGAAAGACTACCCTCAAAAGGTAGAATGTATTTACAAATGATGTGACTGATAAGGGATTCACTTCCAAAACATACAAACATACAACTCAATAACAAAGCAAAAGCAATTAAAAAATGGGCAATACATCTAAATAGACATTTCCCCAAAGAAAACATACAGATAGTCAATGGGTATTTGAAAAGATGCTCAACATCATAATTATTAGAAAAACGCAAAGCAAAACTACAATGAGGTGTATCACCACACACTGGTCAGAATGGCCATCAAAAAGTCTATAAACAATGCTCAAGAGGATATGGAGAAAAAGAGAACCTCCTACACTGTTTGTGGAAATATACATTGGTGCAGCCACTATTGAGCACAGTATGGAGGTTTCTTAAGTACTAAAGATGGAGTTGCCATATGATCTAACAGTCCACTCCTGGGCACATACCCTGAAAAGGCAAAAACTCTAATTTGAAAGGATACATGCACCCCATGTTCACAGCAGCACTACTTATGGTAGCCAGGACATAAAAGAAGCCTGTAAATGTCCATCAAAAGATACATGGAGAGAGGTGTGGCATCTATATTATACACAGATATATAGTGTATTGGGCTTCCCTTGTGGCTCAGCTGGTAAAGAATCCACCTGGGTTCAATCCCTGGGTTGGGAAGATCCCCTGCAGAAAGAAAGGCTACCCCCTCCAATATTCTGGCCTGGAGAATTCCATGGACTGTGTAGTCCATGGGGTTGCAAAGAGACACAACTGAGCAACTTTCACTTTTCATACAGTATAGTACTCAGCCATTAAAAAAGAATGAAATAATGCCATTTGCAACAATACAGATGGGCCTAGAGTTTCATACTAAGTGAATCAAGTCAGAGAGACACGGTAGCACATACAATCTAAAAAATGCATGCATACTATGTCACTTCAGTTGTGTCTGACTCTGTGACCCCATGGACTGTAGCCCTCTCGGCTCCTCTGTCCATGGGATTCTCCAGGGAAGAATACTGAAGTGTGTTGCCATTTCCTCCTCCAGGGGATCTTTCCAACCCAGGGATCAAACTGCAGTCTCATGTCTCCTGCCTTGGCAGTTCGGTTCTTTACCACTAGCACCACCCGGGAAGCCCAAATAAATGAACTTATTTACAAAACAGAAATAGACTCACAGACATAGAAAACAAACATGGTTACCAGAGGGGACAACAGTGGGTAGAGGGGAGATAAGTTAGGAGTTTGGGATAAAATAGGTACTAAAGACCTACTGTATAGCACAGAAAACTATATTCAATATCCTATAATAACCAATAATGGGGGAAGATCTGAAAGGTATATATGTGTGTGTGTGTTTTAGTGTTAGTTGCTCAGTTGTGTCCAACTATTTGTGACCCCATGGACTGTAGCCTGCCAGGCTTCTCTGTTCA